GCAAATTTAATGCGCTGCAAAGTGGATTTTTCGGACCACACATACACATACACACCCACTTCACTTGGAATTACAAATAGGAGATATATTACACACCCAAAAAAAACCGTATAAAAAAGAAACTGCACACACTTTAATACGAAATAACGCGTTTAGGACTTCCAATAAAGTAAAACGTTATATATAACAAAATATATGGGTTTTGTCTACCTCTAGCACACACTTTATGCACTGCAGTGCATATTTAACATATGTATATAATCTCTGTTTACACGATACACACGCGTTTAACTATTTAATCAATACGCACTCGCAGAGAACTTTCCAATCGAACGCTACGCTTAATCCCGCAAAAGTAAAGGAGGCTTAACATTCCGCTCCAATTAACAGCACCAATCATGTGAAAAACACACGGTTTTCGCTTTAACATACACTTAGTCGCTGTTAAGCTGCGCTTACGATGCTGTTACGATCGACCCACCTTGGTTAACAGTGGCGTAACGAAACATTTTATGTAATGTAGTCTTGCTCTCTCCCTTGCCCTAGCGAAGTTCATTGCTAACTGAAGAGCGGTGTAACATAATGGCATAATTGCAGTTCGTTTTCTTTAGTTGCTCCTTCCCAGCCGCTTTAACGTTTTATGTTCTGTGTACCAAAATCCTTATGGAAAGCATTTATTAGTGACACGCCCATTGCCCCAACCGTAAATACATGCGAACTTGTGTTTTTTTGTTTTTGTAGAAAACTTTATTTCAAATATATACATATATCTATCTACATATATCTCTCTCTGGTCACGTTTATTCACACCTCGTCCATTTCACAACACTTGCAAATACAGCCTAATCGAATTAAACCCTAAATTATTTGATCTAAAACCCGCATCCCAAAAACCGAAAACGCCCAACCTAAACAACATAACCTCAATTCCTGAACCCACCGTCCCATGCCCACTGCCACGCCCACGACAATCCATAGCAGCTACCGCAACGACGCAAATCCCGTCACAAAGCACACGATGACACGAAGCTCGCCTTTGACGTCAGCACCGAAAATTCCAATCGGACAACTCCGGCAACGGTTGCCCGGCGCGCCCCTCGAACAGCGCTGCCGCCCATGTATTTAGAGGCCGCGCTGCTGCAGCGCCAGTTCGCGAATCCAATTAGCTATCTGGGCGGGCCACGCCTGCAGCCACGCAGCAATCGGAACAGCATCGAGTCCGTATTATCGCTGGATTAGTCGCCAGAAAGTCTCATCAAGCGCGCCTCCAGTCAGTCAGTCATCGCGTCTGATTGGCACAAGGCCGCTGCCATCCGTCTGATTGGAATGTGAATCCTCAACTTTAGTTAGTTTGAAATTTTAGTTAGTTAATGTGTAACAAATTGTCACAAGTTCCTTTTTGAATAAATAAAAGTATTACAGAAGAAATCTAAATGAAGAATTATATATAAATAGTTGGAAAATGTGGAACCTATTGAAAAGTAAGTATGAAAATATAAATAATTTGTATAAAGAATAGTTGATTACAAATTGTGCTTGCAAAAGTTGCCCTTCTATGCGCTTCTCACACAGTCAATTCTTATCCTTCTAGGTAAATTGCTTTTCCTTAATTAGATAGAACAAAGAAATCCTAATCTAAAACTTTATGCTATGAATTGTCATGTTTTCCATATATACAATTCTTTAATAGACTGACTATATATCTCATATAGTTATACAATTTAACTAGATTTTCATACCACTTCCATTGATACATGTTGAATTAAAAGTTTCACAGTTAAAAAAGGTTTTTATTTTCTTGTTAAAAGTTTTGTAGCGATCGTTTAAAAAATACGTGTGGATCATGCTTATGGGGTAAGTAACTTTAGGGGCTCGTTTTAATAATAACTGTATCTTAATTGTTTGTTTGGTTTTTTCGTTAGATGTATCTGCGCTTTAAATGTATCTCATCTCTGCTTGAATTGTATCTGTTAGCTTAAAATACGTATTCGCTTTACACTGAATGAAAATGGGATCTTACAATAAATTGTATTTTAATTTAAGTTGAGTTGTTGTTGGCTTTTCTTTTCGTTCTCTTTTCAATTATTGACTACGCTCCGGAATCCAACAATTTGTGGATTTGCTTATGGATCCGTATGCTAGGTAAAATCCGGCGGCTTGTATTTGGGCGGTCGCTTAATTGGCTTCTATAACCAATTGCGGCCGCCACGTCATATGTTGTTCTCCTTGGCGCCCTTCGATGCAGCGGCGGCACCGCTGCCACCGCCACCGGCTGTGGGCGTGGCAGCGTCATCTTTGTTGCTATTGCTGCCGCCGCTGTTGCTGCTGCCGCTATTCGTATTGTTGGCCGTGGCGGACTCCTCGCCCTCAGCTTCAGCTGGAGAGAAAGAGGGGGAGAAAGCGAATTTAGTTAAAATGCACAGATAATTGGCTATAGCAGACTCTCTATATACCCTTCTCCTTTTCATCCTTAGTCTCGCTGCTCTCGGCGCTGGCTTTGCTGCTCGCATTGCTGATGATGGGCTCCTTGTCGAGCCTTGGACGTTTGCGCTGGCCCTTGTAGTTGCGATTGTCACGGCGGCCGCCCTCGCCCTCATCCTCCGAATCCGAGTACTCGTTCTCCGGCACAATGCGTTTGTCCTTGTCGCTCTGGGGCAGGCGTTCGTCCTTGTCCACCTTATCCTCGTCCTCGGACTCATCGTTTATCGCATCCTCGGGTATGGCCTGGATCTGCACACCCGGCGCATGCGGCAACAGCCGCAAATTGTCGAACAATTTGTTCTTGATCTTCTCCAGATACTCAGCTGTATTCTGATTCGTCATGTTGCTCGGGCTGATGTGGAGCTTGAAATCCGGGCCGAAGTACTCGAAATAATCATTGTAGGGCAGTTCGTTAGCAATTTCGACGTTCAGGGCCACCGACGTCTCATAGGTCCAGCAGCGGGAGACATTACGGATGGTGTAGCCGCCGCCGCCGACCATCAGGAAGGGCAGGTTGTATTTCTTAACAAACTCGACGCATTTGCCGTGTCCCTTGACGGTTAGATTGAAGCAACCCAGGCGATCGCCCGTCAGCGAGTCAGCACCGCATTGCAGCACCACAGCCGCCGGCTGGAAGGTCTCCATGACCTTGGAGATGATGGGCACAAAGATGCTCTCGTAGGCATCGTCGTCCATGCCATCGCGCAGCGGAATATTCACAGCATAGTATTTGCCCTTGCCAGCGCCAATATCACGCAGATCGCCCGTGCCCGGAAAGTATTCTCCGTACTTATGGAAACTGACCGTCATCACCCGATCTGTAGTATAGAAAGCCTCCTCCACGCCATCGCCGTGATGCACATCGATGTCGATGTAGAGCACGCGCTGGTGATATTTCAACAGCTCCAAGATGCCAAGCACAATGTCATTAACATAGCAAAAGCCGGAAGCTTCGGATTTCTTGGCATGATGCAGACCACCTCCCCAGTTGATGCAGATCTCCGAGGCCTGCTTGTTCAGCTTGACAGCTGCGGCCACTGACCCACCGGCGGACAGCTGACAGAACTCGTAGAGTCCATCGAAAACGGGACAATCTTCGCCCACATTGAAGCGCTGCATCTGTTTGTTGTACTCCGTCATATTGTCGGGTCGTATGGAACGTAAAAATCTCACATATTCATCTGAATGGAATTTGGTCATCTCATCCGCTGTGGCCTTATGGGGTCTCTGTAATTACACACTTGATTAGATCATTTCATGAGGCAACTCGTAGTCGGGTTCTCACATAAATCTCCATTTTGCGATAGAGTCCATAGTTGAGCAACAGATTGTGGGTCATGCGTATGCGATGGGGCTTCATGGGATGGCCTTGGCCATAGTAGTAGTTGCCAATATCACCTGTGGAGTGCAAGAGTATTGTATTAATATTAATAGAACGTTAGATACCCTAGAATATGTAAAATTAAATCATTGGCTCCTAAGCTATAGAGAGTACCCCCAAATAGATTACACATTAATTTTTAATATATGTGTACATTATATACATTTATTTTATAGTGTCTGCCACGCATCCTTCTCCTAAGAGAACCATTATACCCTGATTTCCCATTTTCAACACACAAATATGCGCCACGCTGTGTAAAACGAAAATTTTACGGCCAGTGTCGGCGAGGCGTCCATTCAGTGCACTTCGCCGCATATAAACGTAGCAACACTTTCGCTATACCGAAAACAAAGGTCTACAGGTATACACACACATACACATGCACCACCAACAGAGTCGCTTACACTACGGTCGTTAGTGGAAAAGTACGCTGTGTGCCAAAATGCTTGTACAGTCGCTGTAAAAATTGAAATTCACAAACATGCCACCCAAATTTTCCGACTACATGCCTCAGACTTTTTGAAACAATGTAATAGGATAAGTAGGCGTTACCTATCAATCAACTACACAAATTTAATGTAATTTAAGTAGGTTTAATGTTAACTTACTGTCGTAATAATAGCAAACTCGTTTTTTACTATGAGACTGCATAGTCACTGCTGCCGGCCTGACGTAAAACGCAAGGTCTACTTTTATATGATTTCAGTTGAAGCAGCGATGTAAGCGACGTTTTATTTAACTTTTAGGAAGCACACCGTTTTTCTTTTAATTAAGGATATCAAAAACACTGGCGGTCGCGCACCACAAGAAAAACGATGTGATACAATAAAGCTGTGTGGCAACTATATGGAATGGAGCTGCCACTGTATAAAAAGAAATGCCGGATGGCAGAAATGTACAAATAAATGCCACATATATGTAGTATTTTTTCCAGTACATACTAAGTCAAGCTATTCGCTGAAAATAATAAATAAATACTAATTTATGATTTTGTTAAATATTTGTTGTTAAAATATTAAGATTTGACCGCAGAGTTTTCAGATATTAAAATAAAAACATGTTTCTTGTTTTATATTTTATGCAACTGGTCACACTGCAGTGCTGTAGTTTTTGTTGCTGTGCGAGCGGGAGAGACAACTTCTTTTAGTCGAAATAAACCGTTGAGCGAGTTAGACGCGTTTTCAGTGCGAGGCTCTGTCGGTCGGTGTTTTCTACGTTTCTTGTCGGTGAAAAATAAGAATAAAAGCAAAAACCTAAGTGCAGGAATATTGTGTAAAATTGGAAATTTGTGAAGTGCAAATTGCAGTTTAATTCAGAGAAGAAACGTGTAAGTTTATAAATCGAGTTGTTTGTGCCGTTCAGATTGTATGCGTGTGAATGTGGTGTGTGTGTGTGGTCGTGTGAGCGTACATGTGTAAAAGAGAAAGAAGTTTCAGTTTCCAAGCAAAGCAAACAGCAAGTAAAACGGCAGCAACGGAGTTGCAGTGGAAACACAAACAGAGCAACACTCACACTAACACATGCAAACACACAAACATACACACATTGAACATGCCAGCGCGAAAGAAGTGGGGAAAACTGAAATAAAGTGTCAAAGCGAAGTAACAAAAAAGAAGCAAAAATAAAATAAAAATGAAGCAAACAGTGAAAAAATAAACGAATGATGAAATTTAATTAAAATAAATCAAAATAAAATACAAACGCCGCAAATATCCTGCGCAGTGCAAAAGCCGCCGCTAACTTTAGTGCTTCTTCTTTGCATCTCCGCCTCTCTCTTTTTCTCTCTTCATTTGGGAATTTTACCGACAGACGTCTCTGCCGCTATTGCCGCTACCCGCGACCAACGCCTCGCATTGAAAGTTTCTGTTACTTATTTTCTTCCTCTGTTGCCCATCTTTTTATTACCATTGCATTTTAGTTTTTCAATGCGGGTTCATAGGATATTTTCCTGTTATTGCCCCTCCTTTTCGTCTTCCAATTAGCGCAATTTCGGGAAATAGTTTCATATTGTTTTTATTATTCATTTTCGCTTATAGTCTAACGACCGTGAAATACGACAACAGAACGAGCGAGACGCTGGCAGCAACTGTGTTTTATAGCCGTAACTGTAAAAACGCGGCTAAGCCGCTGACTTTCAATCATAAATTAAAACGACGCTGAATATTCCAACTAATTAAAATTAAAGGTAAGTGCTGGCACACTCTATTAGATTTTTCTGTTATTTATAGATCATTTGCCCTGGAAACTTGTTTGCTCCTGTATGTTATAATGTGTGCGTATGTGTGTGAGTGTGGCCAACGCATCGCTCGAAATGTGGCACAGAAATGCATCCCGACATAACAAAGTGCCGTTACAAAAGCCAATGAACGCAGCAGCCAAATAACTAAACATAATAAAAAATAAACTACAAAAAGCATCAACAACAACAAATTGAATTTAAGTGATGAGAAGAGGCACAGAATGGAAGAGATTGAGAGAGAGAGAGCGCGCACTCTTGTTCTCCCGCTGCAATTTCTATTTACGCTGCTGCTGCGACTGCTGCTGCTGATAAAAGCAAATCCGATTTTAGTGCTCAGCTGCTGCTGCGTTTAAAAAGTCAAAGAGCAATGTTGTTGTTGTTGTTTGTAATTGTCTGTAATTTAGCTGGAGGACTAAACGAAACCAGTTCGGCAACCAGCTGTCGACGTCTGCGCCTGGAATACCACAAGACAGCAAGAGAGCGAGGGAGAGAGAGTGGGTGCGAGAGCAAAACATGCAGCTGCTGCTCATGCTCTATCTGGCTCACTCTCTCTTACTGTTGTTGCTGCTTCTATTTATGTTGGGGCTTTGCCGCATTTATTTATTTACCTTTTGCTCTGGCCTGTTTATTATCCCAGCATCAACGCTGTTTGAAGTTCAAGCCACAATACAATTTTTTTTTGTTTTTTCAAAATAGTATTTTTATAGCTTATCTGCATGTTTCTCCACCTCCCCATTCTTTGCTTCCAGGCATACGAATTTTCATTAACACATTCACTATGCGATGACAACTTCCAGTCTGCTGTTGTTGTTGCTGCTGATGGCGCTTTTTGATGGCTGGCTATTTACCTTTTGCCACTTCTCTTTCCACTGCCTTCTTATTATCGGTCGGCACTTTTTTCATATCTCAATGGCAGTGGGTGAGAGAGGGAGGCAGAGAGGGCTTGGAGTCTGTCTCTGTCTACCCTTTTGGGAGCAGTTCAAAGAGTTCATTTTGAGTGCTGCACTTGGCAATTATGCCTTTTGGACTTTTTTGGCTCACAAATCATTGCGAAATGGCAAACGGTAAATCTGCTTAGCTCTCGTCTAACGGCACTAACTTGTTGAAGATCTAAGCTGATGCTTTGCTCTTTTCTTCTGTTTCGTTTTTTTTTTTTTTTTGATTATTTTTATTTTGCTTACGATTTGACAATTCACAAAGGCAAATCACAATTTACAGCAAAGGGAAGAGGAGGAGGAGGAGGCGAGAATAACAACTGCCTGTGCTGCTGTTTAATAGTGAAAAAGTAGCTGAAGTGGCAGTATCAGCAGAAGTTGAAAATTCAATTGTTGAAGCCGCGACAGCGGCCTTTGTGTTGCCACATACCCTGTAGAAGGCGTGATTGAATGGGGTATATTGGTTTTGTAACAAAAGATGTAACAGACAAAGTAAATGATTTGGTTTTTATTTAAGGAGACCTACAAAAAGGATAGAGATGATATATTATATTATAGAGTAATAATATTGGAATAACTTCTCGGGAAAATCTCATAAAATTCTTAATTATTAAATATTCTCTTTCTGTCCGGTATCTCTTAGTCACTAATGGCTGGCATCAGCCATTTATTTGATTTTTTTTCTTACATACAGCTCTTAACGTCGCCCACTTACAACACAATGAAAACGAGAAGCAGCAGCAGCAGCAGCGGCAGCGGCAGAGGCAACGTCTTTTATTGATAAGAAAAATTGAAAGTGCGTGGCAAGCAGCGAGAGAAGTGTGGAAAGTTGGTAGACAGAGAAAGAGACAGATAGAGAGAGAGAGAGAGAGAGAGAGAGAGAGAGGGAGCGAGCATTAAATGCGTAAGAAATTGATGGGGATAGACAAAGAGAGTGTAAGAGAGATAAAGGCGTGGGACATTGAAAAATGGAATACAGATTTCTAGCTTTTATTACGTTTTAAAGATAATTCGTTTTTTATTTAAATGGATCGTTTTCAAGCAGGCTTAGCAGTAAGACAGATTTGTTATTAATCTGAAAACCAAGAGAAATTCAGTTCGTAATGGGATTTTAGGAGATGCTTAAGAAGATATGTATATTATATATTTAATATCATATTATTCATTGAGGTAAACTTATTTCAATATAACTAAAAACTGATCTGGGAAGGAATTATCTTAAAATATATTTACTCAATTTTAGACTAAATAGTTACAATTATAATTAATTGTAAATATTGTATATTCTCTTATTTAGTTTTTTCAATATTTTTATGGAATATTTGATTTGTTTGGGACTCAAAGAAACTCATTTATAATATTCGTTTTGATCTAGTTCATATTTCATTTCTTAATGTTCTGAATACACTTTCTTTACCTCTTTTTACCCCTCACCCATTGTCAATTGACACAATTGAAATGATGATGCTCTCGCAGCATCAATCCATTTAATGGAGCTCCTTCAAGCTGCCCAAGTTGTTTGTTGTTGTCAGTATCAATGGTTGTTGTTGTTGTTGTTGTTGGAGTTACAGTTGACAGCACCTGCCACGCCCATCTGGCCCAAGTAGCAGTGCAAAGTTTTATATATTATGTCAATTTAAGTTTTATTTTATTTTTTGCTTGACAGTTGGAAATGCAGCTAGTTCTAGTTGTTGTTGCTAGTTCAATTGTTTTACTTAGCTGGACACTGTGCAAACTTTTAATTTATGTCGCTTAAGAAAAGTTCCAGTTGCTTTTAATGGCGCTTATCAAGCCAGGCGGAAGGAGAGTGCTGCAGTGGGAGTGGGAGTGGGGCTTGAGCTCTGGCTGTGTGACCGGCTAACCCAAAAGCCGCTTCAATTAGATTTATGGCATTAGAACAGTTCAACAACGCTCCACACGTGGAAATCCAACGTTTAGACGCAGCAAACACATTTTGCATTGTTTGCTTTGGCCGCCTCTGCCGCTGCCGCTGCCGCTGCCACTGCGCTTGCCCCTCCTTCCGTCTCCTGCTCTGCGTGCTTCGGCACTTCACTGCACATCCGGCTGGGCAACAATAAACATTGTTTCATTGCAACAACTTCTACTTTGCTCTGCGGTGGTTGAAAGCTGCGCTAGCGTTTTTTTTTTTCTCGCTTTGCTCATTCATTCTTTTGCCCGCCAGCGCCGCCGCCGCCAGCGCCGCCTCCGCCCGCATTCCTGGCCAGGTCTGGCCTCAACTCCTGGCACAGGCGCGCACACATTTCCGGCCTCTAGCAAAAACTTCATGTGTATGTGTGTGTGTGTGTATTGTTCTGTGGTGGTTGCTGCTACTCTCTGGCTAGTTTTCGATTTTATTGATTTTCATAAAGTCGCCTTTCAACGCTCAACTCCAATTAGAAGCCGCAGCTGTAGGAATAAAAACTTTTACTCCATTTGCATTCAGTAATATTTTGCACATTCCTCTAATCTCTTGCCCCTCTCTCTCGCTCCCTCCCTCTCACTCTAGCTTGATGCGTGCATGCACTAGTTGCAGCAAGGCTTTCAAATAAATATTTTCTAATTGGAATTCTAAACAAATATTCTGCAATTAGTCGGGCGAAACCTTTAAACAGAGCCCAGGAAAGTTTTACTAATAGAAAATTCTCTAATTGGCTAGCGGTAATCCTTTAAAGCAATGCAATTCGAATCGAATGAATGCAGCAAATAGTTGAGTGTTTTGTTTAGAGTGATTTTACTGTACTTGAACTAAAAATAAGGAACAGAAATATAAGAGAAATTCAAAATGATTTCATTGGATAACAATAAATAAAGAATACGCAGACCGTATATAGAGCATTTGCCCCTATCTTTTAACAAACTCCAGCTCAGTAAAACGATAGTAAAAAACTCTAATAGAAAAGTAGATAAACCTCTCTAAGTCCCAAAGTTATGCTACTCCCAGTATAAATTAACTTCTCAGCTCCTCGCACGGCGCCGTGCAGCAAAGTTTGTTTGAATTGTTAGTGATATGACCCAATTTGATGGTTTTTGCCTCAGTGTGCAGCCGGGCTCAGAGTCGAAGCCGTTGACGCGCGGACTTTGGGGCAAGCAAAGTTTTTAATTACAAGCATCAGGACAATAAAAGTTTATTATGCGAAAAGCTGGCAGAGTACTCTCATTGCTCTAGAACAAATAGTAAGCTATGAGCGCGCGAAAAAAAAACAAATAATAAACTTTGACCTCAGCAGTCAAACTATTTATCTAAAAAAAAAGCAAAAAAAAAATTAAATGCAGAGACCGAAATCTAGTTAAAGTTTATGTTTTAATGGCGAGGCTTATCCCTCGCACAATAAATTGAGTGCGATTTCAGATTCCAATTGCGACTGTTGCGCGCATATATATATAGAAAGGGGCGTGGCAAGGGGATAGCTAGTGCATTGCAGGCGACAATCGAATGGCAAATCGATTGAAAATGCATACAAAAATGCCAGCCAAATGAGGTCTGTGCTGTTCTCTCTCTCTCGCTCTGGCCTTCTCTCTCTAGCACTCGCTGCAGCTATATATAGCTATCTCTAGCTAATATTCAAATGGAATTCGGGTGCATTGAACTCGTTGCAAGGTGTGAATTTCGCCAGGAGGCAGATAAACATAAACAGAGTGAAGGAAAAACTGGAGCACGCTCCCAAAGTTGGACAGCAACAACAACAACAGCATCAGCTATAAAGCAATAGATACAAAGAAAAAAAAAACCAAGTCATAACAAAACAGTTTTACAGCATGGCATATGCTTGAAATGTTGATAAAAAAAATATAAAAAAAAAGAAAGATAGAATGAAACTTGCCAACAGTTCTTGAGAAATCATAACAGAGAACTCTTCTAACAGCCCGCCTTCAAATGAAATTAAAAAGTTCAGCTTCAACTTTGATAAACGGAATGTGCTACAGTCGAGCCACTCTCTTGGCGAACATTTAACAGAGTCGAGTGCTTCTTCTACTCTGCTCTGCTCTGCTCCTCTGTCTCTCATTTTTCTCTGACAATTTTTCAGCTGCCAAAAACTTGGCCCGAAAAACTTGTCAACTATGCCGAAGAAGAGTTGTCACAAAAGTAGCGAACGAAATTTTACACACTTGAGTAGTTGGTGCAATTTGTATGTAGCACAGTGTAGCAAATGACAAGAAATGCCTTAAGAAGGAAACTGAAGAGTGCGATAAAAGTAATTATTTGAATAATAAACTAGGTCTCTGAAAACTGATGAGCGAGATAAGTGCAAAAACAAATCACAAAAAAAGTAATTAGAAGGCAAAAAAAGAAGAAGAAGAGTTTTTCAAACTGTATTAAAACGGAAAAGTTAATAAAAGTAATTTCACTGCGAGCTGGAAAATGGGCTGCATAAATATATATTAATGTAGATATATTTATATGTATATAAAGTTGATCCGTACTCAAGTTAGCCATCATTAAATATTTTATTTTAGTGCATTAATATTTAAAAAAATATTTATTTAAAAATTAAAAATTATATATTATTGAATTTAAGTTCAATCACCCACAATTGTGACCTCTTGATGAAGCTGAAAATTAGTTAAAAATAATTAAGTCATTATTATTCCAAGTATGCTCCATTAACTTTTTCAAAAATCACTTCATAAGTGGGGAAATAGATTAAAAAAAATATATTTTAAAATTAAAAATTAATTTATTATTGAATTTAAATTCAATCTTTCAATTCTCAAATGCACCTCCATGAGTGGAAAATGAGTGAAAAATGAAAATTTCTTGAAACTGAAAAATAATTAAAAATAATTAAAAAATATATATATTTAAAAATTTTAAATTATATATTATTGAATTTAAGTTTAATCTTTCAATTCTGACCTCTTGATGAAGCTGGAAAATAATTAAAAATAATTGATTCATTATTATTCCAAGTATGCTCCATTAACTTCTTCAAAAATCACTTCAAAAGTGGGGAAATAGGTGTAAAAAATATTTAAAAATTTTAACATATATAGAATTTAATTTAAGTTTAATCTTTCAATTCTCAAATGCACCTCCATGAGCGGAAAATGAGTGAAAGATGAAAATCTTTTGATGAAACTGAAAAATAATTGATTCATTATTATTCTATGTAAATTGTATGCCCTCCAAAAGCACTTGAAGAGTGTAGAAATAAGTGAAGTGTGATAGATTCTGAATTGAGAGTAATTTTTACTGTCTTTCTCTAATGCATTGTCTCATGTGCCTTAACTTAATTCGCTTAGCTCTGGGGCAAAGTTCGCTTAAGTTCAGCTTGTTCATGATTTATACGCAAACGCTTTGGGGACATTTGCAATAAAATTTTCAAAGCATATTTCATGCGAAGCTTGAAGTGGACCAAAA